CTTTGTTGCTGTAACATTGGAATTTCCCCATTGTGGGACAAATAAAGGAATATCTTATCTTATCCCCCATAATGTCCCTTTAAGAAAAATGGCTCTGGGTTCTTACGGGTTAATAAAATATCAAGTCAAGTCAACTTTATTGTCAAGTATGGATGAAATTTCAGTCCTCTCGGACTCACAGTGCAAACAGGCAATAAAAAAATTATTTTCTATAAATAGAAAAGACATAAAATAAACAATTAACAATAAACAAGACATAAAATAAACAATAAAATATGATAAAACCTTGTTTTATGTCTCCCTGTCCTTATATGTTAATCATGTAACTTGGACTTCGACAGACTTTATTTGTCATTTGGATTTGCATCAAAATGAAATTACGTTGCAATGGCACATAGCACAGAAGGAATAAAGAGTGAGGCAGTATGTACAAAATAAATATATATATATGCAAATATAAAAAAAGAGAGAGAAAAGAAAAAAAATGGATAAAAGACCAGTTAGATAAAATATATATTTCAGTGAAGTTGCCTATGTAAAAGAAACTTTTGTATATAATACAAACTTTTAATTATTAATTAAAAAAAAGGGGAGAAACTCAGTGAAAACAATCTTATTTCTTAACTTGTTCCAGCTTTAATAAAACATGATAAAAGGTCAAACAGTCACTGCCTCCTTTTACCGGATACCTCCTACAACCTTCTCCACATTAGTGTTTGAACGCGGCCCCATTGAGCCCGCCCACTCGCCCCAACCGAGCTCGCTCATTGGTCGAGCGCGCTGTCAATCACCGCCGTGACTCAGACCACAAGTCATGTGACTGATGTTTTTGTTCCCCTCTCTTCCGCCTCCACTGTTTCTCGCCGTGTCATGTGGATGTCCACCACCCCGCACTGACACTGGGGGGGCTTTGGGGTTGAAATCGGCTCAGCGACTCCTCCAGGAAATCTCTACCGGGGATCCGAGGCGCTCTCCCCCCGCGTAAAGACTCTTCTCCACGGCCTTCTGGAACGGTGGGCCCCGGGGAGAGGCGATGGCGGACGGGGAACGGTCGCCGCTGCTGTCCGAGCAACACGACGGGTCGAACGGCTTCTCTCCTCCCGGGGGCAGACCCTCCAAACCGCAGAGTATGCAATGTGTATTATATATTAGTTTGTTAGTTTGTGTTTTTAGCAATGTTGTCAGCCTGTAAAACAAATGCAAGCTGTGGTTTCTGCAAGCCCAGCTGGCTGTCTGGTGGTTTGGGCTGTTAAAAGCCACAAAAAACACTCAAACAGAGGTTTATGGTCATATGTTACAGTATAAACACAAGGTTTGTACGCACAATGATACAAGAACAGTAAGAACATAATAATTTAAAAATAATATGCAAAAATGTTCAGATATAATATAACATTTGTACTCTAAATGGACTTTAAACTCATTTTAATGCTTTCTGTAAATTCCAGTTTTTTTAGGGCTGTCACAATGTAGGGACAGCAATACCAAACATAAAACCACAATTAGTGATATTAAGTTAACTTTAGTGTACAAAATGTGTTGTTTTTCCTGAAAACTGATTTGTGGTCAGTTTGGTTTGTAGACTAAAGGTCAAAGTTCAGCCGGGCTCTCTGTTTGCTGCAACACAACAGTTTGACATCATTACATTTTCCATCTGTTATTTATCACCAGAACATTTGTAATAAGCTTTGATTTGCTGCTTTCAGTGTGAAATGAAACATCTTCTGGTCCGTTAGAGGAACACAATAAGCAACCTCAGACGCCACATTTGCCTCTGAGAACATGTGACAGGCCTTTTCACTGCTTCCCGACGTTTTATAGATTAAAAGATTAGTCAGTTAATCAATAAAACAACAAATAAATAAGGTAGATAAACAGCCCTCGTTCATTTTCAAGCTGCAAAATGATCTCTTTCCTCTTTCTTCTCCTGTGTCGTCCTGTCGTCTTTCTCTTAACTGTGATCTAAAATGCTGTTTTTTTTTTTTTTTCTTCCTTCCCTTTCCTGTCTTACACTGGATAAAGTTCGGCCTTCGGGTGTGTCACTCACTGATAATGCCTTGATAGCTGATATAATTGTGAACAGTCGCCAATACGCGGCTCACTGTAAGCAGATTGTTTGATAGTGTGCCACATTAAGTCATAACTAACTATCAGCTGTAACGACTTTAAGTAGGGTTACAGTTACAGCGAGGGGGGTTGTTTAGACTGTAGGACACAGTGGAACAACCAGTTTCAATCAATATATCAGCATTATCTGCTCTAAAACTGTGTTTGTGTCTCTGTGTGTCTTCATATGCGGAGTAAATTGACCGAAATGGGACCATAATTCACTAAATGAACATCATGCTGTATGGAAGAAGACTTGAAACTAGAGATTGAGACCAGAAAGTCATTAGGAAACTCTCTACTGAGCTCATAAATCGAGTGAGAAATCGGCTCATTTCTCCGTAAGACTCGATACTGTATGACTGGCCATTAGAAAAGAATGCAGGTTTAAGACACTTCCACTTCTACTGTCAATTGTAACCACTAAATATTTTAGTATTATGCTAAAATGAGCTAATTACAATTAAATACAAAGTACATTCGAGGCAAAATATTGGACATATTAAATTTTTTGACTGTATTATGTTCCTCGATGGAAAATCAAAGGAACGTTATTATTTACTGAAACTCAGGTAACTAAGCCACTAAACTCCTGGTTGTCCCTCTCTTTTAGGTTTGGTGCCGTTCCCCAGCTCGGTGGTCCAAGGTGAGCCTCCGCCCCCCTACTCGCCGCAGGGCAGCCCGGACAGCAGCAGCGCTCCGGTCATCAGCTGCCGGGTCTGCCAGAGCTCCATATCCGTGGAGGGCAAAACGCACCAGCATGTGGTGAAGTGCAACATCTGCAACGAAGCTACGGTGAGTCATACAGAGGTGGAACCAGACACAGGACGTTTGGTTAATGGATTTGAGACCCCGAGTAAACAACTCTTCAGGGTTGCCCAAGCATAAAATGGTGAAACAAAACATTTTATCCCACTTGTGAACCTTGATTTTCCAGTGTATCTGTGTTAAAGAGTATTGATTTTGCTTTCATACCCTAGTTTTTTTTACCCCTGTGAGCTTTGATTCCTGTGTTTCTGCGTCAGACTGCAGCATTGAAATGATTTATAATTAGTGTTAGTAACTGTTTTTTATCTAATAAACATGAACACATCAGAAAATAGTGAAGATTTGTAAGCTTTTTACCACATTTGAGATGTTTTTACAGATCTTAATACGTCTGAAAGGTTGAGTGACTGCGGCCAGAAACTGTAAAATATCAGACTGTTGTTCTGGGTGTCACATTTCACCAACCAGACACGCTCTCAAGAAGCTTTCCCATCGTCTCAGCTGAGACCATGCTCCTGAGATGAAAATCAAACCACTGAGAACTATTTTAAAACTCAAAAATGGGGAAAACCTGAACACTGAAACTGGAAAAAAAGGAGTTTTAGGTTTCTTATCCGTCCTCTTCTTTTGTGTCTTCGTCCCTTTTCTCCGTAGCCAATAAAGAACGCTCCTGTCGGAAAGAAGTATGTCCGCTGTCCGTGCAACTGTCTGCTGATTTGCAAAGTCACATCGCAGAGGATCGCCTGTCCAAGACCGTACTGGTGAGACAGAGAAAACAAGTGTGGGATTACTTTTCAAATGTATCAGCTTTGGCTTGTAATCGCACCATCTGTGCAGAAGGAGCTCGTCACCCACCGGCCACTCAGCAAAATGCAGTCATGGATGTGATCGTGTGAAGGAGCTGTGTTGGGTTTTACTTGTACAGCTGGCCTGAGGAATTATTTTACACCTGAAAAGAAAATTAAAGGACCAGTGTGTAGGGTTTATTTTTAGCGTCTAGCGGTAAAGTTGCAGATTGCAACCAGATAATATTAATATTAAGTTAATATAGATAATATTAAGTTGTTCTTATCACGCTGATGTTTGTTCAAGTGTTAATTTTCGAATAAGTTTGGTTTTAGTTAGTTATTTAATTATGTAAAAAAGGGGTTTTGCGTCATGATTGACACATTGGATACTTTTGTGGCACCGACCTAATTGCTTGGATACCACCAAGTTTCGAAAAATGCCTTGTCATTCGGTACCAAGGTCTTTGAACAGCTTCCTCCTTTGAAGTGAGTAATTGTAACGTAATAAAACAATATGGAACCAGTAAGAAACGAAATCAAGGTACCGGTATCGAACATTTTTTAACGATACTCAGCCCTAGTGTGTGGAATATTTTGGCTTCATTGTTGTACAGTTAGAGGAAGTGGAGACACGATGTCCGTCTTTATATATGCCAGTGGTTAAACAGTAAAAAAAACTTAAATACAATAGTGTAAAGCTGACAAACAAACAAAAAAAGTATTGGTATCCAGCCCTAGTGAAAGGGGAAATCATTGTAACCGGATCCTGTAAATAAAAACCCGAATACATACAATTCTGTTTAATTTGTCTCATATGAAAATGTATGTGAAAGTGTAACAGCACCGCCAGCTTTTAGTTTCGTACTTGTGACCTTCTTTTTAAATTGTCGGGGGTTTTTTCTTCTGCCAGTAAACGCGTCATCAACCTGGGCCCAGTTCACATTGGCAGGGACAGTCCTGAACCACAGCATCAGCCCGTTGGCATCCGGATCATCTGCGGACACTGCTCCAATACATTCCTGGTAGGACACACACACACACACACACACACACAGGGAGATGACAACACTGACCGCCAAATTTCACTTCTCTGTTTAGTTGTAATCCCGCAGTCATCTCCTGATTCACACTTCCTCTTTCTCTCCTCCAGTGGACGGAGTTTTCAGACAGGACCTTGGCCCGATGTCCACACTGCAGAAAAGTGTAAGTGCCTCAGCAATTCTGTGTGTGTGAACCTCCTCCGTCTTGTGACAAAACAGTCCCCCGAAACAGTTTTGTTTTGACTGATTTCATTATGTTCTGGCTTTTATTTCCAGCTCTTCTATCGGTCGGCGATACCCCAGGAGGAGGAGCTTGCTGTGCTTCCTGCTGTTCGTCATCCTCGCCGCCTCCACTGCCGGACTCGTGGTGAGTGTGTGATACTATTCGAGTAATTCAAGTTTGTAATTACTTGGAAGAACTCCTAAATTGTTGGTAGTACATCAAACTAGTTTTGATTTGATTATTACCTCCGCCAAGAGTTACTTCTCCTTCTCATATTGTTTCATTTGATTGATTTTTAGAGGCCTAAAGAAGTGAAAGTATCAAGTATTTCACAAGAAACTCACTTTACAAGTTAGGTCGAACTCATAATGAGAAAATATGATTACCTTCTCTTCCTTTAATCCTCCTGTAGCCGCTCAGATTTCTGCTTCAGTAACATTTAACATGTACGTCTCTGCCTTCAGGTCGGTACGTGGAAACCCGCCCAGAACTCTAAAGGGATCTACGTTTCGTGGGTGCTGCTGATCCTGCTCGCTCTGTTCACCATGGCGAGAACCATCTACTGGAGGTGTCTGAAAATCAGCGACCCCATATCCAACATCACGTAGACACAGGGAAGGAGAGAGAAAGGGGAGGGGGAGGAAAGGGAGGGAGGAAGGAAGGAAGGAAGGTGAGAGGGCTGGAGGATGAGGATGAACGAGGAAAAAAGTTGCAAAATCAATGAGTCCCTGTTAGAAAATTTCACAGAGAAAGTGAACAAAAGCTGCCGATGAGTAAAGACAGAAAGAGATGTGTAGGTGTATTTGAGATATTAAAGATAAAACTTCACAGTCATGTTAAATTAGATTTATCATAAATATGAGCTGCCAGTTGTCAAAGACATGGAGTTTGTTCTCCAATGTCTTCTATTCACCATCACGCATCGGGGTTAGTTTTTTTACACGTTTTGCGAGGAGATGAGCTAAAACTAAAAGTGTGTTTGAGATAAAGACCGGCTGAACAAAAGAGAGCAAGAAAAACTTCAAACATTAGTTTCTGTCCCCGTAGTTTTCTTCTGAGTTGGACTAACATGTTGTTTCGAAGCCTGATGGTGCTATTTTTCAATTAGAGCTGCCAGCAGCTGTTATGTTCATAACAACATTTTTAAACGGGTACATTTAACATTTTTGTGCCCCAGAATTATAAGGATTCATTGTTTCCTCCAGAGAAATTAAAAAAAAGTAACAAGATTCAGGTAAACTGGTTATTCAGAGGAGCCTTGATTTGTTTTGAGGGATGAACGCAGTGCAGGAGGTGTTTAAGTTGGCGTTTAAGTAATATACTCATACCAAATGGGAGCAAAACAATAATTAATCCTAATCAAACTGTTGGAGGGACAATACAAGCTTATTTTTGTTTTATTTAATGAAATTCAGTTCAACATTTCACACTTTTTCTCTCTGTAAATCCAGACTGAAGAGGGTTTGTTCCAAACTCAAGTGAATCCCACGTTACTGCTTTCAAAATGAGAATTAAAAAATAAAATAAATGACACTCCCCCTGTTTGACGTTTTGGGGAAACATTCGCTTTCTTGATGAGTTAGTTGAGAAGATTGATACCTCTCTTACGTCTGTAATAGTACATTTGCAGTCACAGCTATTAGCCAATTAGTTTAGCTTAGCATAAATAGTGGAAACAGCTCAGTAATTAACACATCTCAATGTGTGTTAGTATTTCTCTTTCATGGGTTTTTGTTACCTTAGGATGGAGTCAGGCTAGCTGTCCCCCCCCC